CGTCGCCCCGCGGGCGGGAGTTTCGAACGGCTCGGGGCGAGGGAGGGAACGCGGGGCGCTGGCGCCCGCCGGCGGGCCGGGGAGCGGCTGCTGCCCCGGGAGCAGGAGGAGGCCGCCCCGATGGGCTGCCTGTGAGCGGGAGAGGACACTGCCTGGCCAGCACTCGGCGGAGCCCAGTGCCGCCCGCTCGCCAGAGAGCTCCGCGGGCGGAGGGGCGAGGGCAGGGCTGAGGAGAAGGGGAGTTGCGTGCTGTCCTGGCTCAGGTGCCCTGGCGGGCTCGCTGTCGCTGCGGGTTAAGTCGCCTCACCCCGCCTGCCTCTGCAGCAGCGCGTACTCGTGCGTGCCGGCGGGATGGTGACAGCGCGGGGAGGGGAGGGAGGGAGGGACGGCCGCCGTGGCGGGAACTTCAGAGGAAGTCTCGCCCGAGCCAGGGTTTCCTCTAGGCCTCCGCAGCCCGTCTCCTGCCTTCTTGCAACTGACCGACGCAGCAGCCGGAGCTGTGCTCCATGCCCCACCACGCTGCTGGCTGGACCTCTCCGGTCAGCCTGCCCCATCCGAGCGGGAGCATCGGACCCCCTCCGTGGCAACTGCTATGGCAGGTGGCAGTGCCCGTGACAGGGGCTCTGTGCAATATGTTAGGCTTTTCCTTTCCATTGCACAGCTGTATGTGATGTGCTCCTCACACTCAGGATTTATGTTAAAGTTAATCCTGGACATTCGTGATGAGAAGAATTATAGAAGGTCTAATACAGAATTCTCAGCTCCTTTCCCCCACGAACATGCAAGTTAAGACTACAGGATAAATTAAGGATGAGCACTGCTATCTTTCACATTTAAAAATAAGATTAAACACAGCCGTTGAATAATTGATAAAAAGTCATTGCCTCAGCTTTCCTATGTAATACATATGTTTACTGTGCTGTTTTCAGCCCGTGCTCTGCAACACTGATCCTAAAATTAAATCCATAAACTCCAGCCCTCTTTCTTAAAGTGGATGTTCTATATCAACATACTCAAATAACACTTAAAATTTATTTTTTAAAAGTCTAGGTTTAGTACTAATACTATGAGTTGTTTTGAATAAGTTTTATACTGTTCTCCTAGAATAATGGCACAGCATGGTGTGATAGTCTTAAAGTCTTAAGCAGTTTAGCCTAAAAGTCCTCACTTCTTGTAAGTACTAATTTGTCTTCAGATGCAGACAAGAAAGTTCCTTAATTGTCCTGGATGAGTACCCTGCAATACTGGCAACAGCTAGTACTTCATGCTTAAAAGGTAAATAAAACCTCTGATACAGTACCTAGGAAGCTGCTGTGTTGTACAGAGGAGTAAAATCCCTTCCCAAGCCCTGTTTATTATGATAGTAAAACCTGCACTAATGGTAAACAAAGTAAGCAAGAAGAATTCACTAATGAGGAAAGAGGGTTGCAATCTTAAAGCAGTCAAGTTCTGTTTCAAGTGCTATTTTTTTTTCTGTGCTTAAATTCCATTCCTGCATCCAGTAACCATGAGGCAGGCCTTTGGATTTGCAAGTGTACTAATCAAGTTAATGTAATAGCTTACAGGTTTGTGCTTTTGCAAAGGCCACAAGGGGGGAAAAAAGAAATACACCATGTAAGTTTTAAGGTACAGTTCTGAAACGACAGCTTAATTAAGAAGTGTTAGTTACAGTTTTTTGTAATGGTGGTCTCTTTTTTTTCCCTCTTGTTTTAATAGCCCCAAAATCTGTCTTGCAAGATTAGTTTTACGAATCAAAAAGGGAAGGTGAAAAGCTGACCCAGGAAGAGCTAATTTGGGTTCATTTGCAGTTTCAACTTTAAAACATCTGTGGGGAAGAGACTGAGTTAGAAAACACTTAATTGTAATAAATGTTGTGGTTTAATGCATGGCTTTAAGAAGCAAAATTCTACACTGACTTTTTTTTTTTTTTCTTTTTATTGGTCTATAATTCCATTTCAGGGTGTAGATAAGATCCAAGCATCACTATCTTTAAGAATATGGTCTAGTCATGCTGTCACAATTTATGTACTTCCCAGGTAACACAAGTGACATATAAAGGAACGGGGGCATACAGTTAGTATGCCTGAAGCTTACTCAGTAGGTGTCATACTCAATTAACTACTTTCCATGATATGTGTAATTTAAGCTCTGAGGTGTATGTGTGCAAGGTGGGAATTTTGGTTTTGGGAGGTTAGTCTGTATTCAAGGATGTAATGATTTATAGGCATCATCCCTCTGCTGCAGCCATTCTGACAGACTTTGAGAAGATGCTCAACACAGCTCCCAATTAGAAAAAGGGCCCTGCTTTCTGTATAAATTTTGAAAATTAACCTCACTGTGAAAATAGAGGGATTCCTGTGATACAACTGACTAGAGAGAGAAAGTGGGATGATCTGGTTTGTGAGCACAGGGTCAGGCATCAGTAAATTTTTCTGATGAAGACAGGTCCTTGTTATTTTAGGCTTGTTGCCAAAGAAGTAATTTTAGGCTATGCAAAACTGTAGATTGGCAAGAGTGGAAGACCCCCTAACTGTAATGATAAATAATGCTTGTTTGTTTTGTTTTTGTTTTTTTTTTTTTTTCTTTAAATGTAGATTTGGAATGGAAAATAATTTATGTGGGTTCAGCTGAAAGTGAAGAATATGATCAGGTGTTAGACTCTGTTTTAGTTGGACCTGTTCCTGCAGGCAGACACATGTTTGTATTTCAGGTAAGTTTGATTTAACCTTTTCTAAAAGTTGTGTTAATTTGATTAGGGATAACTGTATCAAACTAAGAGGCACATGAAAAATAATGGTAAAAAATATTGCAGTGAGCCCCTCAGGTATGATATACCTTCCTTTAAAGTCTGTTCTTTAGCCTGTACTTCTTGCCCCTGATATTTCTTGGTTATATTTTTTATTTGTGGTATCAATAATAACTGATAAAAGCACAGTTCCCATAGCTGCTGATAATTTTAACCAGTCTGGTTCATAATCAGTAGTGCCAGTTGCTTGGTTTACACCAGCACTATCAGGCTCACCTCTTCTGCTGGTGGCAGTTTCAGACAATCGGGAGCACTAGGTTAATGTAGACAACACCTTCAGAGGATCAGGCCAGCAAACTAATTGTAAAACTCAGCCAGAATAATCAAGATGTTTGTTTCTGTTTGGCAGAACATGATCAACTATGATGTTTGGCCAAGCATGCTAAATCATAACAAAATACAGTGATTTCTAAAATAAAGATAGAAATTCAGTGGTAAATGGGAGGGAGGTATTTAGGACACAAGTGTGTAGGCCAAGACAAAAAATGTAGAACATGTGACAGTCCTATAAAATACTGCTGTTAATGCCAAAAGTTAATAAGGAATAACAAAGGAAAAGAAAACAGGGAAAGAGCAACGCTAAGATGACTTACTGGCCTAGACTTGTTTCTGTTTTAACTCAGTGAGAAGCAAGGGGGAAAATCTGAAGTGGACTTGCCTGAATTCTTACAGAAGCTTTCTTTTGTTTGGGATAACTTCTTTTGTGGTGGTGGAGTGTTTTTTTTTCTCTTTTTTTGTTTACTTTTTCAAAACTATAGTTTTTATTAAATCTGACACATTTTCGCTATGAAATACTAGAATTTTTTTTGTAAACTGACAGCAAAGTCCATTGGATAACAAGTCGGATAGAAACTGAGTATGTCTTATTGTAAAAGAGCTCTGCTATTTTCCCAAATACTATAAATTCACTTAACTAATGGCAAATGCATGCTGAAGAATGAGCATTGAAGAACCCCAAAGTGCTAATGAAGTGCTGACTCCCTTATTTCTCATGGTTTACTGTAACTGGTTTAAAATAATATCAACATTTGTGAGGCAATCCTGATTTATCCTGTAAGTTCCAGGAAAGGTAGTTTATTTGGCATTTCGAGGGTGTTTTTTTGTTCTGGGCCTTTTGTTTTTTTCCTTAAAGAACAGGCTTAAGGAATAGGATTAGACTGGAGGTTGCAGCATTTATCAACCACATACACCCTAATCAGTGCTGAAACATTTCTGTTTGGTTTTGGAGCCAGGCCTAATTTTTCCACTCTACAAATAAAGCAGATGTGTAACAAATGCATCATTTATTAACAGTTTTTCCATTATCAAGCCATTATAGCTTATGTCATTAATTGGTCAGAAATAGGTGATCCTCTATTGGTTTCAGAGGGGCTACCTTGTTTTTGTATGGTGGAAAATCAGCTGGCATTTACATTTCTAATTTGAAGATTCACTGTTCTCAATCAAAGGTCTGAAGGTTCCTTGTTGATGGTGATGGGAAGGAGCAAGAAGCAGGTGCCTAAAATGGCACGTTTTGGCTGCATGATTAGGCAGGTCTCAAATTAAATTTACTAGTCTTGCAGTTTCTGTAGAATGGAGTCAGCAATTGTATCGTGGTTATAAATTACACTACAGCTAAACGAGGAGGAGATGTGTAGAGATTTTGCTTAGATTGGAGTAGGTCCTGTAAGGGATTCCATCTGTTAAAATATACTTTTTATTTCTTATGGAACTACAGTTGAATCTGAGTATATTACGCTTCAAAGGCTCTGGATTTCGGGTGAGGGTAGGACTCAGCACATGTGTACACAGGAAACCACCAAAACCCCAAGTGCTGCAAGAAGCCTTTGCTGATGGCTGAAGCAATTTTATTCACTAAGCTGAAGCAGCCTGGGATACACAGAAAACAAGCAAGGAAAGGCAAGAATAGGGCAAAGTACAGAACTGCAGGAGGTATGTGACACAAAGAAAAGAGATTGTGTTGATGGGGAATAGCATAAGGAAAGAACCTTTGCAGAGGAGCATAACATTTTCTGATAATCTGTTTTAGATTTTTGTAGATAGGAAAATGGCTGAAATAGCAACTAAAATGGAGTACCACACAGATAGATTACCAAGGATGATAAAAATACCTTAGATGAAAAAAAGATGTGAAACAGGTTGGGAATTCAACCTTATAGAAAGATGGACAATTATTGTGCTTTTCAGACTTACAAAAGCAGCTTTTTGTTTTAAAACCCCAAAATGTTACCTTTATAAGGGTTTCAATAGTAAAGGCCCACAGCCTGGCCTGTTTGTTTCTAAATCCCAAGATATACATAGTGAAACCTGATTCCTTCTCGGTTCTCTTGGGAATTTGTAATAAAATCACAGAAACTTTTTTGAGCATATAAGTGCATAAATAATTTACTGTCCTTAAGTGCACATATAACCTTTGCTACCTACTCTGCAGCAGTAGCTATGAGAATAAATACCATGTGGAAAAGCAAGATATAATTCAAGGCAACATACGGGCTGATTTCATAAATTTCTTAAGTAATTCGTAGAATAAGTGGCATATTAAGACAGTGATTTTTGTGCAAAAATTAATCTACTGCCTCTGCCCACCAAAATATCTGCTTGCCAGTAATCTGCTTATTTATCATTTGGTCATACCAAGCTCTTCTTTTTTTCTGCCATCTGTGTCTGATCTTTGGTTCCTGAGTAATTAACAGGTTTGACAAAACCAGGAAGTTGAAAATTTGAGAAAACTGTTTTAAACAGTATTCAGTGTCTTTTTCATGCAGCAAAACAATGCTTGAGAGATAAGTAGGATTAGAACAGAGTATTTCCTTGGGATCAGAACTGTGTCATAGGATATTACAAGACAGAAAATGACAGTGGGAACCTGGAAGACTAAGATTCTGCATTAGAATGTGAGTTGAGTTTAATGGGGAGTTAAACAGAATATGGTTCTTCTGTTGCCCATTACTGTGGAATTTACAGTGATCAGATAGTTCTGGGCACTGTTAGAACAAGACTACTGAGTCAAAGTAATGATTTAATCTGTATTGGCAGTTCTTGTGATTTCCTCAAGCTTCTGCATTTTTTCTGTTTCTTGGCCACCTCTTCCATTCTCCTATGCTAGTTGTAAGCCATTCAGTCATTTTCTATTTCCTTCAGGGCTGGAGGAAGAGGTGTTCTACCTGATTCCCTGGTTTCTTCTCCTCCCTTGGGTGTATTTCTGCCTTAGAGGTCTGACTCATCTAATTCTTCTGTGAAGTGCCTATAGCTTCTCACAAAAAACTAGGCTGGTTTGAAGGCTTAGAATTGAAGTGGCAAAGAGTAGATGCCAATGCTGCATGAGCAGCAGCTCCCAAATTTCACCATGCTGAAGTACAGAAATACTACAGAAAAGTAGGAACAAGAGGGACAACAGGAATTAATTCCATTCATCCTCTGTCATTAGGCAAGGTTTGTTACACCCAAACCATCTGAACACACATTACTAATACCAGCTTGTTCTCACAACATGGGTGTTTCACTGTTGACTTCAGATCTTCCTGTGGAATTGTAAATATGAAGCTGTTTTACTATGCCTGGATTGCTGTTACTTTAAATCCTGCAGCAGAATCAGGCATCACATTTTATCAATAGATGTGGTAGTTAGAAGGCATTTTCAGGGACTGATGTGACCCACATTTTATGAGGCAAATTTTATTGATAAGTAACTGCAGAGCCATGGTAAGTAAGGACACTGAGGAAGATTGTATCAGTTGCATATTAATTATGTTTGCATACTGGTAGAGAATGTTCAGGTGTCTTGGAGAGATGATGCAGTTAACTGCATAAATTTTAATGAACATTGGTATTGGGAATGAAGCCAGAGAAAGTACTTAATTCCTTTCCTAGAAGTCTGTGGAACAGCTCAAACCTTACCACAGCCCATCCCTTTTCATGCTGAAATATAATTTGCAGTCTGTAGTTTTAAGGATATAGTCTTGTTACAAGCACACATACAGACCAATTCAACCTTGAGGTATATGAGAAAATAATCTTGCTCTACTAAATTACCAAGATGGGCTGGAGAACTGTGGCACTGTAGAACTGGAATGATGTTGCTACCCCTGTGTGAACAATGGTTCAGCTGAGCATATATTTAAAAGGAGTTTTGGGTCAAACCTGGCCAATTGCCCATGAGAAATGTCAGCAAACAATTTTACTGTATTCCAGTTTTGTCAGTAGAGGATGATGTTCTAAATCTGGGATTGATGTTGTGAAAGCAGTATATTTTCTGGTTAACTTGAACAGTTTAAAATATAGTCACTACTTAGCTGCTGAAACAAACTTTGAGATTCCCCTGCTAGGTAGGCATGTGCTATCAATTTTAATTTATCTTTCCCTTTCACATTTAGGCTGATGCACCTAACCCAGGGCTTATTCCAGATGCAGATGCAGTAGGTGTAACAGTTGTGCTAATTACATGCACGTACCGAGGTCAAGAATTTATTAGAGTCGGCTACTATGTGAACAATGAATATACTGAAACAGAACTGAGAGAGAATCCACCAGTCAAGCCAGATTTTTCTAAGGTAAGGCATGTTTTGTTTTAGTCATCTATCAGAGGTATGCTTATAGAAAAAGGTTTTTAAGAAACAAATACAAGCCCCAAGTGGTTTCGTTAAGTGCATGGAATGAGGCATGAAATAATGGAAAATACTTGGGGGGAACAGACTGTGAATGCCATGTAGTTGTCATAAATTTATGTAATATTGAGAAACCATCAAAAATTTCCACCATCCTGATGACTTGGCTGTACTTTCACACTGACTGTGAAATAAACCACTGGATTTATTCCTACCTGCTCCACTGTTTACAAAATGGCTCTGTTCTTCTGAAAAACAGAATGTTTTTTCTAAGCCCATCAACCTGGAACTAAGTTGTAGATATTTACTACAGCTGTTACTCAGCTGTTCTAGTGTCAGAGCTACAATTTCTGCAAAACTTTAACAAACAAACTGAGGAACAAATTAGGTGTAAAATAAGAGAACATGGGTAGCCTGGTTGGATGATTATCTGACAAATGTCTAATTTGACAAAGGAAGTGTACAGATAAAGTTAGAAAAATGTATGTCCTTCATGGTAATAATTAAACCAGGACTAGAATTAAAAGATTAAATGAAATAGTATGTTTTTCTGTGATTAACTTTTTCAGTGATCATATACTAAAAAAAATACTGAAAATTACAGTAAAGTTTGAGGATTCTTAAACTTTGGTATGTTCCTTTCTTCTTTATTTCTTTCAATTAAAACATAATTTATTTGTTACGTTGGTTGCCAATACCAAAATGGTGACTCTTTAAGCACTTGAATTTAGAATGCTTAGAACTACTTATCTTCCTTCTCTGTTTACATAAAAAGCTAGCTTTGCTGCTCTGGAAGAAAACAGCAAAGGCGATCATATGTTTGTATATGTGGCTAGGGAAAAAATGTGACTTAATGTGACTTGGGGAAAAATGGAAATGCACAAGTAGAGGGTTATTAAAGTGATTGATTAATTATTGGGTAATAAGCTCTACTAGGTTCTAAAAAAGAAATAGTCTTTTTAGTTTGCATAAGGGGTCATGAAATACTTAATGAGAGTACACTTTCTTGGAGAATAATATTGACAAAGCAAACCCTTCCTGTGATCAGTCTGAAATATCATAGTGAGTGTCCACTGGCTCTAAGTTGCCATCCTCCAGGTAAGAATATATAGTCTTTCACCCCTTTTCAAAATAAGGAGAAAATCAGCTTTTTTTTTTTTTTTTTTCTGGATACATAAACAAATGCAACATGTTTTCAAAAGGAAATGAAGGCCAGCCATGAGAATAAGATAAATGACTAATCATGTCCACTGCCACAGTGTTAGTATTTTCCAAATATAAATGTTTTTATTTTAAAACTTTAGTCGATAAATCCTCTTAGTGAAATCAGTCTAAAGTTTGGTAGTTTAAGGATAAGGTTGTACTTTTAAATGAAGATGAGAAGTTGATGGAATTGATAGGTATTGCAAATACCATAAAGTTGGTGCAAAATTTGATGAAGTACTGTGGTTTGCAAAATCCTTGTGGGGTTAGAAGTTATTTGCTTTACTACAAGCTGGATAAAATAACAAACACTTGCACTTTACTTGTGGATCTCTTTCACAGCCTTGACCTTGCGGAACAGTTAAAACGCTCTTGAGAAATTGGTTGTTTTGCTGAAGAGAATACTAGGGAAAATAATAAGTGGTGTACTGTCAGCACATTTCTGATCCATAGGTAGTAGCTATAGATTCACATTGATGTGAATTCCCTTTTTAAACAAACTGTTATGCAAACAAGGCTATAGGGACTAAAAGGAAAAAATCTATATGGATGTGAACTCCAGTTTTAGATGTACACATTACAATCCATATATTTTCTTCTTTCCCAGCTTCAAAGGAATATTTTGGCATCTAATCCCAGAGTCACAAGATTCCACATTAATTGGGAGGACAACACTGAAAAACTGGAAGATGCAGAGAGCAGTAACCCAAATCTACAGTCCTTGCTTTCCACAGATGCATTACCTTCAGCATCAAAGGGGTGGTCAACATCAGAAAATTCACTAAATGTTATGTTAGAATCTCATATGGACTGCATGTGACTAACCACCATCCTTTTGGTACTGTATATGTGTTAAACTGTAAAAACAACCAGAACTATTTCCTTCAAATTCCATAAATACATAGTTGAAGCAATGTGAAGAACTTGTTTTAAAACATCCTGTAGAAAGTTTATAAAAAAAAAACCAAAAAAACCCAACAAACAAACAGTATTTGAGCAGATTGTGAAATATAAATACAACTATTTTTAAGTAATTGCCTTTTTTTTCTAATGTGTTATTCTATGTGGTCTAAACCAAACCTGATTAAAGTATATGTATTCTCTCCCCTCCCCCCTTATTTTGTAAGCACTGTTAAAAGCTTAAAAAAAGTTTAAAAGTTAAAACATTCAGGCAAAATGAAGGAATAATGCCATGTCCTCATCTCTGCTATCCAGATTGCCAAATATAAAGTGCCCTTTAACAGCATCTTAAGAAAAAAACTGACATTAAAAGAAGTGCAAAGAAAGAAAGAAAGAATCTCTTAATAACAAAGTCCAAAAATGTCCTTTTGCTCTGAAAGCAGACAGCACAGTATAATTTTAGGTGCAAGCTTCTTTTCCTTTCAAGGCACATACTTGTTACTTAAAGCCTGCAATTTGAGATTTACCATCTGCTATCTTGGATTTTAGGATTTTTTTTTTAAATCTGCTGCTGCTGCTGTGTAGTCAAACTGTGGTTTTGTTCAGGACAGTGTTTCATGTGGATTGGGGTGGGTACCTCAGGACAGAACCATTTTTCAGCCACCCTAATAGGATACACAAGTGGTTGGAAGGATGCAAGCACTTATTGGAAGATTCTAAGCCTGAAATCAATAGTGTGAATGTCCCAAATATGCTCTTCTGTAAGATTATTATGGATCACTACTGGTTAGTATGTTTATTTTCAGGCATGCTTTATTGTAGTCTTTTTCAATAGTAGTAAGGAGTTTGGGTGTTTTCTTTCATTTTTTTGAAGCACCTGGAATTTTAAACTTCTCTGTTTTCTCTCTACCTTTAAGGCAATTCTGTTTGCTGGTATAAACCCTGTTGTGGCAGGCATGACACACTCAAGAATACATTACTTGCCTGGAAGCTCTTGCAGTGAGACATCCCTATTACCTGAGGCATCCTTGAAGATAAAGGGAACTAAGCAGTAGCCTGTCAAGACTTAAGCCATTATTGTGACACTTAAGAATTTAGCTATTCCTTCCTATCCTCATTAGCCTTATTTAGATTTACTGTGCCTGTATGTGCATTTAAATTGTAATCTGTCATGCCAGATTACAGGAATATAGTTCTATTTACTAGTCACTGCCCAAATTATGAACCTTTGTAGGTTCTGGGCCCTTCAGAAAAGGGCAGATTTCATGATGACTGACAGTGTAGCTCTGAATAAATACAGAATGCTTTCTGTTGTCTTTCTGCACTCTCCAATGGGATGAGGATGTCCCAGACAGTGCTTCTGTCTTTCCACATCATTAGTGAAATTGTCTGCATTTCAAATGTGTGGTTTTGAAACTGGAAAGGAATGACCTGATCTGAATATTTTTCTTGTATGGAAACTCAGCAGTACACATGTAGGGTGGATGAATGAATTAATGAAATCCATTAATCTTTGGAGGCCTAGTTCTAATATGTGCTCTTAACAATCTCTCTCTAATTGTTTAAAGTGATAACCAGAAATCTAAAAATATTAACACTCATCGGTAGGACTTAACACAAAGAACTGGAGGGTTGAAATTCTGAGAACTTCACTTGAGGGTTGAAATTCTGTGAACCTTATCTTTGATTTTCAATGATATTGCTACTTTTAGGTCTGCAGTGACATCTTCAGATTTTTCATGCAATTTATTGTTCTGTTTATAAGTCTATTTAGGATATCTCATAAATGTAAGCATGTAAATAACTTAATTATCTGCTGAAGGATTGACAGGCTTGTGAAGTCTGCCTCAAATTAAGGCTACTGTAGCAGTATCTCAAACTCTTGCCTTTATTGAATATTCAAATGAAAACATGATCCAAGTACAAGCTGTAACCAGAATCCATCCCACTGGTAGCATGAAGGCTTTTTAGAAGCATATGCCACAAAGCGATAGAAGCAAACCATTGTTGCTGCTACTGCAAAACCAGCTACAAAATTCAGGCAGCAAAACAACGTCACCCAGCAAACCAATTAATTTAGAGGAATGGAAAAGTGAAGCTCTGTTGTGAGTCTAAAAAATCTAAGAAGTCATCTGTGCATGAGAACTTAGGTGCAATAACCTTCAGGCTTGACTGGTAGGATGCTGTGGCAGAGTTTGGCACCACCTTACCTGATACACTCATGTGGCTTGGCTAGAGCTGACCCACCATTACCAGGAAAAGTAATGCTGTGCTTGGTGACAATTGGTGGCGAACAGCCCTGCGTCATGCTCTTTGCAAGATAAATGCCATTTCTGTGATTTTTGAGAGGTTGGGTCCCTCAGGTCTTTGCAACTTTGTCCAGATCTTAGCAAGCCGTATACCCTGCCTTCTGAGCATTGCATTTCCTGACAAAATCACATTCCAGAGACAAAGGATTTGAGGAACCAACTTCCAGTCCCTCAGAGACTTCAGGAAATATCACAGCACAAACTCAGTGGTATTAAAAGATAGAATGCATGTAGGGCACCTGTAAAGACTTGTCCCTGATCTCATGATTTTAAAACAGCAGGTCTCTGCATGTGACACAGCCAACCAGTGCTGACATCAGAGCATTGCAATTTCAAGGGTGAAGATGTTTTCACTTTGCCACAAACCCTTACTTGCAGAGGCCACCATGATGCAAAGCAGTGCTACAGATTCTGCTGACAGCACTGGTGATGTATCTCACTGTGTTTTCATCTCAGGCAGGCAGACCATTAGAAAACTGTTATTCGTGTACAAAGAAGTAAGTGGATCAGACAAGGTAACATGGATGAAAAATGTGCGCGGTTTTCATTTCTAACTTGGAAAAAAGCTGTCCCTCAGCTTATAGTCACTGATTTATTCAGGCATCACCTTCAGCCTGAATTACTATGACACTTCAGTTTGAAGGAGGCAAAATGGTTCCAGCTCCATCAAAATGGAGACTAGTGAAATTTCATCTTTACAAAACTCCACTAACTACCAATTCAACAATGAAGCAACTTGGAGCTTTACTACAATATCCACAGTTTATGGCTTACCAGACACTGTATTCTTGAGATGAGTGTGACAAAGTCACAAAGAAATCTGGTGATCCGATAGTCCCTTGTTTCCTTTGGAGTGCCTCAGCTGCTGATTTTCTGGAAATCAGCTCAGACTGAAAGGTAGCCACTTGTAGCTAGACTGATTGTCCACTGACATCTGAAAATGCTGGTAGGAAGGAAAAGGGAAAAACCCCGAACGTGCTTTGCACGTATACTAGCATATCCTCATTTATGAGAGTTGGAAAAGGGCAAAGTTAACTACATCTTCTGGCTTCTGTCTGGACAGGTGCAGATCCTTCACATATCTAACTACCCTCCTCTTTATCCATAGCACAGTGGACTACAAGAGTACAGATGATCTAATTTACTTGGACAGCCACAGAAGTTTGGTCAGGAGATGATGGGTTAATTGTTGCTGTGGTTGCTGGCTGGGGGTCTCTACTAAGTGCCATCCAGGAAGATGCAGCAAAACTGACAACTACACGTAAGACCTGGCAGCGCGTGTGGAACTCTGCCTGGGCCCTCCCATTTCTGTTTCCAGTTACAGTTCTGCTTCTTTAAAGTTGGTCTTGTGTGATATGAGAGCAGCCCTGGAGAAGATGGATGGAAGGCTTTTTCCTTGATTTTTGGTCTAGGCAAAAATGATACAAGGAAGAGGCAGTTGGAGGTGTTAGGAAGGCTTTCTTAAGGCAAACCCAAGGCTTCTATGTGGAATTTAGGGGGTCATTGCAGGGGGGGAATGGAGGGAGGATACATTTAAACATTTGCAGTTTAGGTAATGCAGTTTTGGAGGCATGGCTGGGCACTCATGGCCGCAGGGGTACGACTGCAGACAAGAGAAAGTCAGAGGAAAGAGGTGTGTGTGCTACACCAGTTGTAAGAAACAGCAGCTACATGTTACCAGCAGTGTTAAGAACTGGCTGAACTGAACTGGCAGAAACTTTTATGGAGTTCTTTGGTCTCCCTCCAAAACTGCCTTGGCCCCATGAGATAAGGAGGCCAACCTTTCAAAATAAAGATATCCTCCAGTTTGTCCTGCACTAGGAGGATGGGGCAGACCTACACTCAGACAAACTAGAAAGAAGGACGGGCTTCACAGTATGGTAAAGGAAATGCTGAAGATACCTATTATTCATCCAAAAATCAACTGCTTGAAATGCCTGCCATTTCAACAGCAGGATGAATTAGTCTGATGAAGGCTGGCCTGGAGGTGTTAGAAGTGTGTAAGACCTGAAACCTTCAAACAACATGACAAGATACAGTTCTTGTAGTTTTTCCCATCCAAACAAACTATGGGCCTTCAGATATGAAGATGTTTGAAAAAAACCAAAATTTTTGCAGATAGGTATCTCTTGGGCTACATAATCTCTGTCATGCAGCTAGACAAGGTAAGCTCACTCAGGACAAAGCCATTTTGGAACAGCACTACTGAGAAGAAATTAAGGGAACTAAAGAAGAGATGGGACATTATTACAGATGGGACATGTCTAAAAATATCTGATCACAGCTTCAAACTTCATTTCTTCAACAAGTTCAGCAGACTTCCTATAGGGCCTTCCAGCTTGAGACCCAGATGCTGAAGGAACAGCCAGTGAAGCCATGCTCAAGAAAATATTTTCAGGTTACATACTGAGAGAAAATACTTCATGTACAATTATAAGTATTCAGGAAAACAATCCATGGTAGAAGTGATGATCAGAGAAAAGTGATGACCTAAAGGCTGCATCTGTATTAATAACTTTGTCAGGGACAGGGTATGAATCCATGGTGGAAAATGGTTTCCTGGCACTACTGTGGCTTATGTCAACTAGGGAAGGCAGAGGGACAGTTCGGAGATCTACACAGAGGGAAAAATATCTCCAGTTTCAGAGTCTTGCATACCTCAGGATACTGACACCATGTACTCTATTTATAACCACAACTGGATGGCTCATGTCAGTGACTTTGGATTGGTTTCTAATGGATCAGAAGACAGACAGTTGTTAGCACCTGAAGCCTGCCTAGCAGGGGAAAGCTTACCATGAAAGAAGAAAAGGGGTGGTTTTCCC